AAACACGGAATTACATAACTAGGTAATAAGATGCACTTTGGTTAAAGAGAACCAAGCTCTCAATCCCTTGAGAGCATTGTATCAACATTACAGTAAATGGCCGGCCATGCATTTTATGTCTCTTCTCCTCACTGCCCCAAAAACACACAAACAAAACCACCACCACAAACAAAAAGCTTAATTATCAAAATCTTCAGTCTTGATTGGGTGAATAGGGAAAACCAGAAAGGATAAAGAACCAGGGTCTAAATAGCTATTTGTCATAGGTAACTCAGAACTTATACTGGGCTAGTCAGCCTTCACTTTCTCTCATGTGCTCATCCTGCCACTATTTTCTTTCCTATATCAGCACTTTACTTTTCTCTCTCCTTTTAAAGAACATCTACAAAGTGGGGTAGATAGAAAGCAACACTATTTGTCAGCAAAACAACCTGCAGGGATACATATGAAGCAAGCTTAACCTATTCTGCAGCCTGATACTGGAAAAGGCCTTTCATAAGCAGGCACTGCAACAAAGAGGTGCTGACAACTTCACTGTTCACTGTGAGGTAAACAGAAGTGACAATGTGCTTTATTACCTAATACCTCTACCCATCTCCTTTCTCTTTGACCCACTGCTACTTGATATGAGGGAAGAATGTAACATGTAAAACACCAAAAGGAAGAAAGGGAATAGTCTGGTTAGAGTGAGGAGGTAGTTGTTATTTTTCACAACTAAAACAATTTAATTTCTGCCAAATATAATTATGTAATCCTAGTATCTTCATAGATTTTTGAAACTGGAAGAATCCTTACAGGCCATCTGGTCCTACCCTCTCATCTTACAGACAGAAAACCTAAAAATTTAAGCCCAAGATCAAACAGTTATGTAATGACAGAACTGGGTCTTCTGATACAGTACATCAAGTATTTTGGTATTTGCAAATATACAACAATTTCCCAAGGTTCAAAGTATTGACACAAAAATAAATGAATTGTTGCCTATAGCATAAAACATATATAATTTCAAATTCACTTTTGCTACCCAAAATACATCCCATCTTTGCTGTCTATAGCTCTAAGAGCTTTATGCCTACTAGGAGAGGAGAGGAGGAAGGTGAAAACACTTAAGGGAAAAATGCAGGAAAAGAATAAACAGCAAGCTAGTTGAGGTAAAACAATCAACAGAAATAGCTGTTAGGATTAAGAGCTACTGAAAAGATAAGACTGAGAAATGGGGTAATGGAACTGTTTCCGGAGAGTTCTCACCCTGCAGGAGAAAAAAACAGCAAGACAGAAGCAATGCAAAAGTACTGGAATGCATGTTATATAAGCCAGCTGATTAGAGTGATCAGAATTCTTGTGGCATAAGGTAACAGAATCTGCATTTTAAAACCAGAACTCCAGAGGATACCAGAGCAGGTGGTCCCTAAGAGCACATTTTGGAAAACACTGGTCTGTGGGATATTGTGATCTAGGAGGGTTAAAGACAAGAAAAACTCCTGTTCAGGAGTTCTGGGCCATTAACTAGCTTGGTTTGATTCTTTCAACCAACCAGGCAAAGGAAATGCCCTCAGCAAAACACATTAAGGCTGATTGTGTTCCCAGTCCAGGCAGTCAGACAAGGTGGCTGCCACAGAGTCACCCGCAAGGAGCCAGAGAACATTATGTAATCACTGCCCAAGCTCTGAAATGAAGAGATCAGAACTTCTTTCACAAAAGTCTGTCATTAAGGTTTTCCTTTTCCCATTAAGCGACTGACTGATTAAAGGATTCTACTTTCAATGTAGAGAAATATTTTGTCATCCCCTAAAGAAGTTTTTCAGCTTATAGCTGGAAAGAGAATTAGTCATTTTGTATCTACCAACTCATCCGTTACTGCTGCGTGGTTTACAAAGATGACTCTGGCCCTCACTCTTTAGTCCCAGCAGTATTTTTCTTTGGATATGGAGGATCTGAGAAAATAAAAAATGGAAAACAAAGCACGGAGCTACCAATAATTACTTATAGCTGCAATAACCACAAAATTTAAATATGGTGAACTCGTGAGCAATTTTGAGAATGTGGCAGAGTCACTATTTCAGAAATGACAAAAATTGTCAGAAGTCAGATTTAATGGTGCTCAGCAAATGTAATTCTGATGTTTGTCCAGAGTTTCAAATCTCCACTACAGCGGAACAGAGAAAAGCTGTCTGAAGTGACGTCATCCAATGCTTGCTCACTCTCTCTCTTTCTAAATGGGAGCAGTTATATTTGTTAATAGGATTTTTAAATGTATAAATATATGTGATAGCATTAAGACTACACATATTTGAGATTGTTGTGACTGGGTACTTGACTCTCAATTTATTTTAGATACAATAAATGTATAAACAAAGAGCTAACATAATAATTTGCTACTGGAATTTTCATCTGTGCATTCCAAACGTTTTCTTTAAAGACCAAGATTGTTTGCAATGGCTTCAGGAAAACAATGCCAATACGGAAAACCAAAACCTTTAATCCTTTTAGGGAATCAGTTCACTGTTCCTATTTCAAGGCAAGGCAAGTCATTTAGAAATCAACCCCTGACGTGTTTGTTTTTATCAGAGCATTTCGAGAAAGTAAGATTACCATTATAAAGACAGATTATATTCAGAATATAATAAATTATAATATGTCTAGATTACCATTATATTGTGAATTTTTTACAATATTATTAGTGGCCTATTTTTCAGTAATAATTTTTATTCATCCATATTAAAACTCCTATTATTTATACGTGGCACACAAATTTTTTTTAAGTTAAAACTAAATTTACCCTACTGATAATAGGTCTTGAAAAATGCTAACGACAACAAAAAAGATAAGCAACATAACTTTACAGTTAATTTCTAATTTTTGCAGCCTAAAAAGGATCTGGGTAAGAGGCTGTGGGCTTTAACTTATGAGACAATTACACTCATATTTAAGTAAATATGATCGTAACCTACTAAAAGTCAACACAATAACAGCCCCACTTCATGAATTTTCCTAGGATTAAAGGGAGATTTTGTAAAACGAAGGAGAATTGTATTAGTGACCCGGGGGCAAATTTCTTATGTTTAGTTTCACGCAGCAGGAGTCCTCACAAAGACGCTGATATAATTTAAATGCCAACTATTCGCTTTTCACTAACATCCACATAGTCATTACTGGCCTTTACCACTAATGGCAAGAGACAGCCCAAACCTACTTCGGGCGGAGTGTCCCTTCGTCCCCTCTCCAGGTGAAGTTCACCTGCCACTACCGAAGGGCCGTGGAAAAAGGAGGTAAAGAAACACTTTTAAAATTAAGACGCTTACAGTTGCTGGACTTAGTCCAAGTGCTGTTCAAGCCTAGAAACGAAAGTAGGAAACAACAGAGGTTTAGGCTTGTAATGATGTCAGCCATTTTAGGTACATTATTTATACTGGGAAGGAAGTGCCAAACTCGGTTGTTGTTGTTGTGCCTGTCGCTGACGGTCCCCAGATCGAACGAGCCCAGTCCTGGCGGCACGCACGCTCCCCAGACTGCACAAACGACCGGGACCTCGGCACAATTAGCCAATCGTTCCCTCTCCAGATCTCCCAAGCCCCCGACCCCGCGTCAGGCAGCGCTTCCAGCACACGCAGTTCCTTACAAAGGAGCTGCGGCCCCACAGGAAACGGGAACGCCGGGCTCTCTCGGACACTTGTCCCCGCGGCGCCGGCCCAGCGCCCGCCACCTCGGGGCGCACTGCCGCTCCAGCCCGCGCAGCCCTCCCCGGCCGGGCCCAGCACCCGCTTCCCCGACCTCCCCGGCCTCGGACCTTGCAGTCCACAGCGACGGCGTCGGGGGGGATGATAAGCGCCTCCTCGCCGCTCTTGGGCTCATCCTTCTTGGCTTCCTTCTGGGCCAGAGCGGAGTTGAACGTCACTTTCACCATGGCGCGGCCTGGGACGCCCTCGAAGGGCGGCGGCGGGCTCGGGGCGCGGGCTGCGGGCTCCCGGCTGCGACTGCAGCCTCTATAGCCGGGCTCCGGGCGCGGCTCCGGGCGGCTGAGGAGGTTCGGGAGGCTCCGCGGCGGCAGAGGCGGATACTGCGGTAGGGCTCTCGCAGCCTCCCAGCTCCCGCGCGAGGGCGGAGACGGCTCGCGCACCCACTCGGAGGCGGGAGGGGGCGGGGCCAGCGGCCGGAGGCGGGGCGCTGCGCGGCACCCTGCCCTCGCCCGGCAGCTGGGCGCGGGATCCCGGCGCGCCTAGGAGAGGGATGGGCATCCATCTGGGACGCCCAGAATTTCCAGTTCTGAATTCGCTCCCAACCAGTTTACGTCCAGGCCCAGTGCTGCAGGTTTGTAGCAAAATCGAGTGAACTTTCCTGAGTTCGCTGGGTACAAGGGACTAACCTTTGCAGCACCAGACTGCCGCTTGTCTGTCCCCTGTCCCCACTGCAAGCCTTAAAGGCCATGGAATTTTTGTGCACCTATATCTTCATTTTCTCACTTATTAGGGAACAGACTCAGTGGAGCACAAAAATATTTAAAGCTCTCTGCCCTTGAGATCTGACTTTATCTTTCACGGACCTCACCCAAGGGCGTTTACCTGGCTCAGACCTGCCTGGTCTTCCTTCCCTCGCTCGGGAGGTCAGGGCCTGTTCTGCCTAGTCCCAGACCAATGTGGAGGAAGCCTCTTGGCAGATTTGTATATCAAACATCTCACACTCATAAAACGAAATGTTCCATTCTTGTGCATACTTGGAAAAAAACCACGTGCACACTTGGCTGATTTTTTACTCAAGGTAAAGTACTCGATGACGAGTCCCTTTATTTTTCTGCAAAATGAAAAAATAATTAAAGATAAAGCAAAATTGTCATGTTTTGAAGACCTTTAATTTACAACTAATGTGAGGGAGAATGCTGGCTCCCATCTTTATTGCGTTCATGACTGTCAACAGACGGCCCCATTGGACAAATGGGTGACCTTGTATCCTTCTTCCACCCCATTCTGTCCTAGTTCATCCACAGTTGTGGGTATGCTCTAGAATGTTACAGCTGTGTCAGCTCTGCCCTGGACCAACTCTGAGAAAAGTGGGTTGAGTCTGAGATCTTCGGGGATTTGGCCCTGCTCAAGGAGAGAGTTGGGTATCTCCATAGAACATCAGATCATAAGTCCCTGGGAAACAGCCCAAAATCTCCAAATCCTTCTGTTCATTTATTTCAGAAACATCCTGGGCTGAGATAGAAACCCAAGTCAGACTTTGAGTTTGCTTTGGGTATTCAGGAATTCCTGTCAAAATGAAATCTGCTCAACCGAGAGGAGGATGAGTTGGGCTCCAGTTCTGGTGAGTTTTAACAGTAGTTAACCATACTTGAAGCAACTTATTTAAACTCCCTGGGTCTCCCTTGTCCAGGCATCAGCTCTGTGAGGTTGACTCTATGGACTGGCCTTTCATAGCATCTAATGTTATCTAATTCCTCAGAATTAACGACTCCTCCCAGCTCCCTAGTTTAATAGGTTTCCTGAGATATTGCAATTGAAGACTAAGTATTTCTGGAAGCAAGAGTTGGAGGATTATAAATAATTATATGTACATCTGTCTACTTCGTTCTGTGTTAAGATGGTAGAAAAATGCTCAAGGCATTTTGCAGTAGATGGTAGAGAAGAATTTGGCTGTCATTATACTCTGGAGGGGAAAAAAAGAATTACAGAAGAAAAGAAAATTCTTCGTGAACAAGACTACTGAACAGACTAGGAAGCTGAGGCAAAGCATGAACAAATGAGGTTGACAGAACTAGAAATCCTCCCCTGCCCCAGGATTTCTATTTTGAAAGACTCATGAATAAAAGACCATTCATTATTTTGTGTACTTGCAGTGAGCAACAGTTTAAAATCAGTTGGCAACTGGTCTGGGAATAATCTCCTGGTTTTGCTTCTCCATTTTATCTCATGTGTCTACAGAACTGTGTAGTGCACAACAGCAGGGATAATAAAGACTCTGGAGCAAAACCAAACATAGCAAATACAGTCTTGTGATTTAGAAAAGGTTGCCCGTTGACCCTGAAAACTTAGGAGCAAGGGAGGAGGAGAGTCCATGACTCAACAAAAGAAAGTTAAAAACATAGTTATAAGTTACTATTAACTACCAAATGTAAAGGGAGTCTTAGAGGACCTTTGTTTTCCTTTTTCATGTTGATTTTGAGAGAGCGAGATGAATCTGATTCCAGCTCTGCATATCACAGGGAGCCATGTTTGTTTTTATGCTTACCAAAGGAGGGAGGAAAAAATGGAAGTGGGGAACTGAATTCTAAAATCTTTTATTAATAGATTTGTGTGATGTGCTTCAACAAGGATTTTTTTTTTTTTCTTTTTAATTTTTGGCTTCTTTACATCTCTATTCTGTCCTTTCTCAAGGAAACAATCCCTATTCAGAGAAATTTCTTGTGGTTTTACAGAATGATTGGAAACTTTTTTTTTCCCCCACAAATATAGGGTCCTTGGTGAAACAACATCACTGAATATGCCCTTTAAAATGTGCTCCTGTTGCCTCTTCTCTTAACTCAATGTGTAGTTTAGCTGGGCATCTTGTGGCTTTGTCTGAACTTTCATAAAACAAGTGTTTCTTCTAGGTGAGAAGTGAAGGCTTTGACTTGCCTCTTCAGAGACTTAAGCACTGTTTATATTTCTTACCGACTTCCTACTTCAATATTATATGTGCTTTTCAATTTTTAAAATTTATTTTATATAAATTATTTTAATGTAATTTTAAAATAATTTATCATTATTTTCCTTGAACTGCAGATGCAATTTTTTTCTTTCTCAAATCTTGGGCTCTATAATATCCCGAGACCCTTTGGGAATTATCCTAATAACAAATGCAGCTCTCTTTTGATTTGACTGGCTGTGGCACTTGGGATTTTTGTTTTGCTTTGTGAAAAGACTGGATATGCTTTGCACTGATGAAAGAGAGAGAGAAGCCGGGCGCGGTGGCTCATGCCTATAATCCCAGAATTTTGGGAGGCCCAGGCAGGCAGATCACCTGAGGTCGGGAGTTCGAGACCAGCCTGACCAAAATGGAGAAACCCCGACTCTACTGAAAATACAAAAAATTAGCTGGGCATGGTGGCGCATGCCTGTAATTCCAGCTACTTGGGAGGCCGAGGTAGTAGAATTGTTTGAATCCGGGAGGCAGAGGTTTCAGTGAGTCCAGATTGCGCCATTGCACTCCAGCCTGGACAACAGGAGCGAAACTCCGTGCCCCTCCCTGCCAAAAAAAAAAAAAAAAAAAGAGAGAGGGAGGAAAAAGAAGGAAAAGATGAGAAACACAAACCATAAAAAGAGTGAAATCAAAAGAAGGGGAAGACAAGCCACAGACTGGGAGAAAGTATTTGCAAAAGATGTATCTGATGAAAGACTTGAATCCAAAATACACAAATAACTCTTTAAACTCAACAATAAGAAAACAAACCACCTCATTAAAAAATAGGCCACCAAGCCAAGTGCAGTGTCACAAGCCTATAGTCCCAGCTACTCAGGAAGCTGAGGCGGGAGGATTGCTTGAGTCCAGGAATTCAAGGTTGCAGTGCATTATGACCATACCTATGAATAGTCACTGCACTCCATCCTGGGCAACATAATGAGACCCTGTCTCTATTTTTAAAAATTATTTTTCTTTACAGGGTGTAGTGGTGCATTCTATAGTCCCAGCTACTTGGGAGGCTGAAGCAAGAAAATCATTTGAGCACAGGAGTCCCTAAAAATAAACAAACAAATAAATAAATACAAATCAAAATTAAATAAAACAAATAATCCAGTTCCCTAGTTGCAATAACCACATTTTTTAAAAAAGGGCAAGCAATCTGAAGAGACCCCTTACCAAAGAACATACACAGATGGCAATTAAGCATATGAAAAGATACTCCACATCTATCTTTACGTGTATCATTAGGGAATTGCAAATTAAAACTACAATGAAATACCCTGAGCACCTATTAAAATGGCCAAAATTGGCAACAGCAACCACACCAATTATTGATGAGGATGCTGGGCAAAGGGAACGCTCATTCATCACTGATGGAAATGGAAAATGGTACAGCCTCAGTTTCTTACAAAACTAAACACACTCTTATCATACAATCCAACAATTATACTCCTTGGTATTTACCCCAAGGAGCTGAAAACTTATGTCCACCAAAAAGCCCTGTGTATGTATGTTTACAGCTGCTTTATTCATAATTACCAAAATGTTAAAGCAACCAAGATATCCTTCAGTAGATGAATGGATAAACTGTCGTACATCCAGATAATGAAATATTATTCAGCACTGAAAAGAAATGAACCATCAAACCATAAAGACATGGAGGAAATGTAAAGACATATTATTAAATCAAAGAAGCCAGTCTGAAAAGGCTACCGACTGTATAATTCCAGCTATATGACATTTTGGAAAAGGCGTAACTATAGAAACAGTAGAAAGATCACTGGTTACCACTGATCAGTAAAACGATCAGAGTTAGTGGCAAGGGAGGAAGGGATGAATAGGAGGAGCAGAGAGGATTTTTAGGACAGTGAAACTGCTCTGCATGATACTACAATGGTGATACATGCCATTATCCATTCGTCAAAATCCATAGAATGTATCAATGTAGGTTCATTGATTTAACAAGTGTATGAGCCTGGTGGGAGCTATAGACAGTCGGGGAGGTTGTATGTGTGTGGAGACGGGGTATATGGAAACTCTCTGTACTTTCTTGCTCAAGTTTGCTGGGACCCTAAAAGTGCTCAAAACATAATGTTAATTAAAATGAAAGAGAGAGAAATGGTACAAAGGTTGGTGGTCGAATGGATAGAACCCTCTCAGAAGACCCAGACCCTTGTCTTGTCTGAACCTCACCATTCTTCATATTTTCATTGGTAATACTCTGCAAATAAACCAACTGTTTAAAGCATGATATTAGAGTCTACAAAGAGCTGGAGCAGCCTGGTAAGGTTTCACAGAGGAGACAAAATTTTAGTTGGAGAAATGGAAAGGGTTTAGGTGAAGGCAAAGGAAAAGGAAGAAGAGCCTGAGTGGAGGGAAGAGCATGAAGAAGAGAACTGAGACCAGGAAAGAGGACTGAGGCAAGAGGAGAGAAGCACCACTCAGGCTGAGAGTGTATGCTGAGTAATTGTGGGGAACACAGCTGGATGGGCGATGGAGCCATAAAGCTGCATGTCCTGTTATAATTAGTAATATGGACTTTATCCTCAAAGGGACTGTGGAAAGTTTCTGCAAATATCAGTTGTTGTTTTTTATTTTATTTGTTTATGTTTTGAGATGGAGTCTCGCTCTGTGGCCCAGGCTGGAGTATAGTGGTGTGATCTCAGTTCACTGCAGCCTCAGCCTCCCGGCTAGCTGGGATTACAGGTGCACGCTACCATGCCAGCTCATTTTTGTATTTTCAGTAGAGATGAGGTTTCACCATATTGGCCAGGCCAGTCTCAAACTCCTGACCTCAAGTGATCTGCCCACCTCTGCCTCCCAGAGTGCTGGGATTACAGACAGTCGTGAGCCACTGCACCCAGCCATGCAAATATCAGTGTTTAAAATAAAAGGCTGCTCTATAAAGATTGATCTGGCTTTCTGAGTGAACAGGAAAAGAGGAAACACCAGAAGCAGAAAGAGAAGTTCAAATAGCTTCTCTCCTTTTTTATGGGGATAAATGAGATAAGATTCTAATGCCTTTTATTTATGTTGGAAGAAAGAATACCAAATAAATCTGGCATTACTAGTAACAATGTCTAATAAACAGTACTTGTGTTTATAAGTCAAGTGACGTAAAAGACATATGCACCAAGGCTGGCAGAACAGTGTAAAGGTCTGTCCTCCTTTGATTGAACCTTACCAAGTGTCCTACTGGGCTTCATCCAGGAAGGCTTTGAACTTCCAGGCGAATAGCATAAAGGCAGTGATGTTGTCATAGCCATTGTTTTGACAACATGGATTGTAGGAGGAGACACTAATATTTATCATGATTGCATTTATGTGTGTGTGTATGTGTGTGTGTATATATATATATACACACACACACACATTGCGTATATAATAAATATGTGGCAGGGGTGTGTGTGCGTGCGTGTGTGTGTGAGTGTGTGTGATCTAAACTCCTCTATATGTTTCTTAAGGCCCTCCATTACCTGCCTGGTGACATCGCACCAAGCCAACCTTATATCTCTCATGTACTCTCTCCACTCTGTTCTGTTCAGCGTTTAGTGTAGGAATCTGCCTTGCTTATTATCTTTATCAAAATCATTGCTCTAATTAAGATCGAGAAAGCATGTAGCAAATTTTGTTGTAACAAAAGA